TATACTTTTAAATAATTCCAAAGCCACAAAACCAGGGGGACAGACAAGAAGATCATCCAGGCAAAGTGGGACAACATGCAGATGTGGGGAGGAATCTTAGTTTTTACTATGTTCCTTCCAGATATCAGGGATAAAAGCAAGTGGAGGTGTCCCAGAGGCAGCTGGGGTTATGGAACGAGGGAGAGAGTGGGCAATCAGGACTAGGGGAGATTTCCAGTTCTCCACCTAATATGGTGGTCTATGACATGCTAAAGGATAAACTCCCCATAGAAGTGTAAAAACACACCCACAGTGACAGCCAATGAAAAGAAACAGAAAGACGATGAGTGACATAAGAAAAACAATACATATTGAAGAGGCATGAAAATTAAGAAAATAGACTAATAAAACCATGAGAGCCTCAAGGGCCTTGAGGTTCACTTCAGGAACCCTCTTTAAGCTCACTCAAGAGGAAAGAAAGCCAAGAAAATGCAGTAAGGCAGAGTTCTTAACGTTTTCAAACCATGGACCCTTTTGGCATTCTGGTGAAGCACATGGACCCCTTCTCAGAATATTTTAAATGCATAAGAAACACCTACAAATTTAAAGGAAACCAATTATATTAAAACACAATTTTCAAAATATTTTTAGAAGTGTGATATAGGGGGCGCCTGGGTGGCTCAGTCGGTTAAGCGACTGCCTTTGGCTCAGGTCATGATCCCAGGGTCCTGGGATCCAGCCCCACATCAGGCTCCCTGCTCCTCGGGGAGCCTGCTTCTCCCTCTCCCTCTGCCTGCCGCTCCCCCTGCTTATGCTCTCTCTCTCTCAAATAAATAAATAAAACCTTAAAAAAAAAAAAAGGAAGTGTGATATAGTAATATATATGCTTTATATTAATGTGTTAAATAATAAGATCTAATGGCAGGCCTAATCACCATAATTTTGAGGCAGTAGATGAGCATAAATAATATTTCAAGATACTTGCAATGACTGTCAGGTATCAGGAAAATATCTCTGATTTCTATTAGTGACAAGATCACAGTTACTGCTAATACTGCTTGATTTATTTTCTCCGCTCGGAATTGAAGGTAATGCTAATTTTCATTAGACCTTAACACAAATAAAGACATATTACTTTTCTTGATCTAAGTTCATGAATTTCCTAACCTGTGCATCACAGGTTAAAAAACGATACCCTAGGGCACTTGGGTGGCTCAGTCAGTTAAGTGTCTGCCTTCAGCTCAGGTCATGAACTCAGGATCATGGGATCCAGCCACACAGGCTCCACATCAGGCTCCACATCAGTGCGGGGTCTGCTTGAGATCCTTCCCCACCCCCCCATCCCGCTCATGTATGTGTGCTCTCTCTCCCTCTAAAATAAATAAATAAATAAAATCTTTAAAAAAAAAATCTGTATCAGCTAAGAAAAAATATTTTCTCTGAATTGATTAATTTTGCTTAAATCAGCCTGAGAAAACATCTTTAATCCAGCTCCTTATTTCATATATCTGCAAAATGGGGAAAACAATAGTACCTATCTCCTAGGGTTTTAAATTAGCCAATACATATAATGGATATAAAATAGTACCTGACATAGGCTAAACACTCAATTTTTAACTATTATTATTATTTTATTTGGCATCTTGTAATCCAGGTCATTCCATGAAAATTGGTGGTATGATTATTTGTATAATGACAGGTATAATAGCAAATGAAAAGCAAAAAGGGGTTAACCGAGAACACTTGTTTTTTATTTAATGCTTCAAAATTAGAATACTCCACTTCTGCCAGTTACATTTTCCTTCCTCTATTGGGGAAAAACATCAGTGCCTCTTTAAAAGGATTGTAAACTCAGAAAAATATTTTGGCTACTCATATCACAAAAGCGCTAATTTCCATGATTCTGTATCTAAAGACTTTCTACCAATCAGTAAAGACCAGCAATCCTCGTACAGTGCTAGTGAGAATGTAAACTAGTAGGCCACTTTGGAAGACTGATATAACCTAAGAAAATTTAAGATATGCATACTCTATTCCAGCAGTCCCACTACTAGATATATATTATAAGGAAATGCCAAATTTTAAGGGTTAGAATTACTGTACAACACTATTCATAGCAGCATTACTCCTCAACGCCCCAAACTAGAAACATCCTAAATGTCTACCAAGCATAAAACGGTTAAAACGTGGTATATATCTATATAATGAAAATTAACAAACTATGGTTATATTCAACAACACGAATAAATTCTTACAAAGGTAATATTGAACACACACAAAAAAGCAAGATACAAAATATGTATATATATAGTCTGATTCCATTTATATAAAGTTCAAAAGCAGGCAAAACTAAACCGTATTGTTGAGGGATGCATATGCAGGTGGTAGAATTCTAAGGTAAAGGAAGTGAACACAATTAAAGTCATGAGAGCCAGTAGGGGGCAGACGGAGTTTTGTTTAATTGGGAGTGGGGGTTGTTCTCAGGGGCTGGCAATGTTCTACTTTTTGATCAGGTAATGGGTACACAAGTGTTTGCTCTATAACTATTTGTTCAAATGAACCAAAAAAAAGTTTTATATATTCTTCTGTGTGCGTGTTATATTTCACAATGAAAATATTTTTTAGAACAGCATCTCTTTAGAAAAATCAACAAAGGATATGACAGAAATTTCACAAAGAGGAAAATAGTAAAGGCTCTTAAACTAAAGATGTTCAGCTTCTTTAAAAGACATGCATTTAAAACTCCACTATTTTCATCTTACAGGTCATGAAGATAAATAACATTTGCTAACACTTTCTGTTGGCAGTGGAGGAAGAAATAGCTATTTTCATGTATCACTGGAGAAAATATAAGTTGTTCCAATATCTGTGGAGGGCAATTAGGCAATAGCCATCAAAATTATAAATGCAAATACCCTTTAATTCAGCAATCCTATCTCTAGACACATATTCATTTATTCCCCAAACAGTTATTGAGTACCTACTATGTAACAGGCACTGTTTTACGCTCTAGAACTTAATTTACTGATATATTCTCTGAAAAGTCTGGAAACATGGGGCTGTTTATTTCATTCTTTTTTTTTTTTTTTAAGATTTTATTTATTTATTTGAGACAGAGAGAATGAGAGAGAGAGAGAGCACATGAGAGAGGGGAGGGTCAGAGGGAGAAGCAGGCTCCCTGCCGAGCAGGGAGCCCGACGCGGGACTCGATCCAGGGACTCCAGGATCATGACCTGAGCCGAAGGCAGTCGCTTAACCAACTGAGCCACCCAGGCGCCCCTGTTTATTTCATTCTTATCATGGACTGGTTTATGAGGAAGAAGGCTTGAATCTCAGCCAGAGAATATACTTAGGATTAGATCAGAGCACCTTAAATAAAGTGAAGAAAGTATAACAAATTGTTTCCCTCCTTTCAAATTTTTAGATAATCTGTATAAACACAGTTATCGGTTTGTTTTTAATTGTTTATAATAACAAAAGATGAGGAAAATAAAAGTTAAGTGCCTGTCATTATAGGACTGGTTAAATAAATTATGATTTGAACCCTGCTCTGTCACCAGGGCAGGCAGGCTTCATTGGCATGTCACGTGTGCAAGCAGACAGGTCCCCACACTCAGAATGACCGCCCAACACACACACACACACACACACACAGACACTCTACTGCTGCCATTTTGAAACTCTTAACAATTTTACTTTTGAACTTGGATTTTGTATGGGAAGTCTGATGGGGCATGAAGCAAATGCATGAGCAGAGGACATGGGCACAGTGAGGTGTCATCATTCCTTGCAAATAGCATTCACAAATAGCATTGCTGATGCCCCATGAACACAGAATTCTGGAGGGCCCGTGATGCACAGGAGCTGGGCAAAAATCAAAGTGAGCGCAAGATAAGTCTGTTACATGGATGACTGAATAAGCCCTGAGAGGCCATGCTTTCCATTCAAACTGGAACTTGCTTCAAACCCAGAAAGAAGACGTATTCTAAGAAACACGGAAAACCAAGGACCCGTAATCTATCTATTCTTACTGGTGTTACTTCTCTGTGTGAGCGCATCTCTCATGCTAAAAATGATGACACAGAAGGAAAAGGCAGACAAGTCAACCCCGAGTTCCTTACCCTTTCAGTCCTTCCTTCCTCATCAGTAAGTTGAAAGTGGGGTGTTGGTAGAATGTGTGTATATCAAAAAGAGAAATCAAAATGTTTGAGTTACTTTATCCAGAGTCCCCACTGTCCTGGTAAGGACAAAATACATGTGCAAGTACAAGCTACAAAATACAAATTACATAATTTTGATGGTTCAACATAGGAGTTAAATGTCTTTAAAAATGGCATCGCACAATATAAAGACAGATGGTAAAATTCATACTAATGATTTAAATTTTTAATTGTTCTTTACTTAGATGACGTCACAAATGAGAAACACAGTCAAGACAGAGACCGTGAAAGAAAAGAAAAGGCTTTATACATTTTAGTATCTTTAATGGTATATCTTTCCTGCGTTTTGAATAAAGGGGTCCACATTTTCATTTTGCATTGAGTTCCTCAAATTAGGTAGGTGGTCCTGTCCATTGCTTACTAATTTTGTGACTTTGGGGGCGCCAAGGTGGCTCAGTCGGTTAAGCGGCTGCCTTGGGCTCAGGTCACAATCCCAGGGTCCTGGGATCGAGCCTCACATCGGGCTCCTTGCTCAGTGGGGAGTCTGCTTCTCCCTTTCCCTCTGCCGCTCCCCTTGCTTGTGCTCTCTCACTCTCTCTCTCTGTCAAATAAATAAATAAAATCTTTAAAAACAAATTTTTTTTTACATTGGGCAAGTTATTTAACTTTTCTTTTTAAAGATTTTGTTTATTTATTTGACAGAGAGAGCACAAGCAGGCGGAGCTGCAGAGAGAGGGAGAAGCAGGCTCCCCACTGAGCAGGGAGCCCGATGTGGGGCTTGATCCCAGGACCCTGGGATCATGACCTGAGCTGAAGGCAGACACTTAACCTACTGAGCCACTCAGGCAACCCGGGCAAGTTATTTAAATGCTGGGTGCCTGTGTTTGCCTCTCTGCAAAATAGGATTTAATAATCATACCTATCTTATAGTATTGTTGAGAGGATTAAATACGCTAATTAAAGACGATTAGAGTAGTGTTTAGCTACTACCTAAGTATTAAATGTTATGATTATTGCTGTGTTTCTATTAGCAAATATACAATGGAATAGTATCCAGCCATTAACAAAAAAAAGGAAGTCCTACCTTCATGTCCTGCTAGAAAGTTATCTCTGAAATATATTAAGTGAGAAAACAAAATAAGTACCAAACAATGTTTATGACATGATTCCATTCGTGGAAGAAAGGAGAGGAAAACACGTCTCTACGTATATACTTGTATGCTCTTAAAACACGTTCCTGGAAGGATACACAAATAACACTGTTTGCCTCCAAGGAGAAGAAAACAAGCTGCTGGAAGATGAGGTAAGGGAAGGATTTTTCTCTCTTTAAGCTTTTGAACCATGTCAGAGTGTCATTTATTAAAAAAAAAAAAATTAGGTTAAACATTCCAAATGTCTTCTATATTTTAGTTTGCACAATGCACTGCCAGACACAGAAGCACAACTAAATAAATAATTGTTGGCCAAAATATTTCTTAAAAATTATAGAGGGATACACACAGGTATCTAATGTGACATCCCAAAGTCAGAACAGGAGCTTAAATTCTAAACCACACTATCTAAAGTAAACTTGGACTTTCCATCCTTTTTTTTTTTTTTTTTTTTAGTTTCCATACATAGAAAGCTATACAGTACTTTACAGAGCAACTAAGAGAAAATCTCTGTGACTAGGCAGAGCAGGCAAGGTTAAGGAGCTTGTGCCTGTCCCGGATCAGTCTGGCTGGCACTGGACTGAGGTCCCTAACCCCGCTAGGTTCTGAGCTGGAGAAGCTGCAGCGGGCGGGGAAAACCAAGTGTCATCCTTACCAAGTGATTACGCTAATCTGTGTTGAGAATCAGGGTAACGGAGGTTCCGGTGACGATGGGTGCAGATCTTATTTTTGACTCCTTTATTAATCCTCCAATTGCCTCTAGAGCTTATGACATGATAATAATGGCTCATGTTTTCTAGTCAAAGATGACACACCTGAACCATTATGAAAAAGACCCGTTCCTTAAGTTTGATGGATCCATTCACCTGCATCTGTGGGCATCACTGTGATCAATCAGTCTGTGAACGTCAGGAGTGGGGGGTGTGGTTCGGGGCCACGTAATACACTAACAGTAAGTTCCAGAGCAGTGGTTTTACTGTGTAGGATCTGAGGCTTTTTTTTTTTTTTTTAAGTAATCTCTATACCCAACGTGAGGCTCAGACCTACAACCCTGAGATCAAGAGTTGCAGGCTCCACCAGACTGAGCCAGCCAGGTGCCTCCGAGGCAAATATTTAATGACTGTGTGCCTCCGTTTTCTCAATACTAATACCTACCTCCTAGGGTTGTTGTGAAGATTAACACAGGTCAAGTCTTGCACATAGTAGGTGCTCAGTGCAGGCTGGCTGATGCTGGTGTTGTTCAGGTCTTAGGACTCCGGCCGTCTGAATTAAAATATAAGAGAGAAGATCCTGAGTTGTACACACTGGTCCCCATGTCCATTCATTTGTATTGATTTTCCTTTACAATATCACCTGTTTGTCATTTCCTCTATTCTTCCTGTCATCAGCTTAGTTAAGAGATCATTTGGCAATGATATTCAGTAGGGCTGGAGTAAAATGCAAATAGATATAGTATACATTGACTCTATTTATTCCCAAGTAATAGCACAGGTCGCTGGGTTCTCCCCCAGGAATCCTAGTAGCTGACTGCTGCCTGCTTTTAGCAATTAGGTTTCTGTCCATCTCAACCTCAATAGTCCTTACGAATATGGTTATTGAGCACCTGCTCTCTGCCAGCCACTGCCAAGACCCTGACATGCAATGAGAAGACAATGCCCCTGCCTTCAAAGCGTACACAGAGATGGGCAAGACAAGAACAGGTGAAGCCACTAGACCGGGATAAGGGCTGAGATAAAGGGAACTGTGGGGGTGAAGTGGGAGAGGGAAAGCACAGGGGCAGTAGAATGTGCAAAGCCCAGAAGATAAGAGACAGCAACCACTTTCCAGAAATTGGTAGCTCAGTATGGCAGAAGCATGGCGTTCAAAAAAGGAAACTGGAAGACATCAAGTAGGATTAGTGGTTCTCGAACTTGAATGTGCATAAAAGCAGCCTCCTGGGCTTCATCCCTAGAGATTGTGATTTAGTAGGTTGGAGCGAGGGTACCAGCAAGTGCTGTCGGTCTGAGGGCCATCCTTTGAGAAGCACTGATGGGGAGAAGAAGGGTAGGGTCAACTTGCAGAGAGCTTGAGTGTTACGCACAGAGAGAGGTATGTGCTTCCCCCTTAGCGGGGTGCAGAGCGCCTCTGAGGAGTTTAAGCCTCCAAGAGACATGGTTACAGCTACCTTTTAGGAAAATGACTCTGCAAGCCACATGAAAACTCGAGAGAAAGCAGGACTGGAGTCAGGGAGAGCTGTCAGGGGCCGCTGCAGAAAACCCAGTGGAGAAATCACAAGGATCTGAAATAAGACATTGTCAGTTACCCGTTGACCTGGGTGGCAGCAGCTAATACATTTGCCCTTAAACGTTTTTGATGAATGTCCCCCTGGGTAGCTGCCTCCACTTTGGGAGAGTTCGAGTTAGGAGAAAGAAAGGTGAGCCCTTCAAGTCAGTCCTTCAGGGAGTCACCAGACTGGTGAAAACCGGCAGCCTTGGTTCTTTGATATAAGAGAGAAGGTCCATTCTGCTCCCTTTGGCACTAGGAACCTGCACCAGGAATGCGAGCCGCACCTTCTAGGTGCCACTGAGCCAGGCAGCAGAAGATGGGGCCAAAGTTAAAACACCATGAAATTCTCTTACCAAGATCCAGATGGCTTTCTTTCTTTCTTTTTCTTTCTTTCTTCCTTCCTTTCTTTCTTTCTTCTTTCTTTTTTTTTCTTCCTTCCTTTTTCTTTCTTCCTTTCTTTCTTCCTTTCTTCCTTCCTTCCTTCCTTTCTTTCTTTCTTTCTTCTTTCTTCCTTTTTCTTCCTTCCTTTTTCTTCCTTCCTTTTTCTTCCTTTCTTTCTTCCTTTCTTCCTTCTTTTCTTTCTTTCTTTTTCTTCCTTCCTTTTTCTTCCTTCCTCTTTCTTTCTTTCTTTTTCTCCCTTCCTTTTTTTCTTTCTTTCTTTCTTTCTTTCTTTCTTTCTTTCTTTCTTTCTTTCTTTCTTTCTTTCTTTCTTTCTTTCTTTCTTTCTTCCTTCCTTCCTTCCTTCCTTCCTTCCTTCCTTCCTTTCTTTCTTTCTTTCATTCTGTTTATTTAAGAAAGAGCTGGGGGAGGGGCAGAGGAAGAGGGAGAAAGAACCTCTAAGCAGACTCCCCACTGAGCATGAAGCCAGCCTTCCGGGGGCTCCATCCCACCACCCTGAGATCCTGACCTGGACAGGAATCAAGAGTCCAAAGCTCAACTGACTGAGCCACCCAGGCGCCCCCAAATGTTTTTTGTCTTGATTGAGTCATTGGCCCAGTTGCTGTAAACTTCTGATTCGCCTTCAGTTCCGATAAAGTTGATTCTGACCATTTTTGCTGGTTTATTCCCTGCTTTGGTGGAGGGATGGACGTTTGGGGTTTGTTACTCTGCCATTTGTACTAGTGTCCTCGATAATGTTTCGTAGTTTCCAGTGTAGAAGTCTCGCACCTCTTTGGCTAGATTTATTCCTGCCATTCACTGTTGTTGTTGTTGTTTATTGCTATTGTAAATGAAATTGTTTTCTTTATTTCATTTTCAGATTTTTTCATTGTTCAGTGCTAGTGTGTAGAAATACAATTGATTTTTGTATATTGATCCAATATCCTACAACCTTGCTAAACTCATTTGTTAGTTCCAACAGTTTCAGGATTTTTTTTTTTTTTTTTGAGAGAGAGAGAGAGGGCAGAGTGGGGGGAGGGGCAGAGGGAGAGGGAGAAGCAGACTCCCTGCTGAGCACAGAGCCCAACTCCGGGTTCAGTCTCAAGACCCTGAGATTATGACCTGAGTCGAAATCAAGAGTCATAAGCATAATTATGTAAAACTTGTTTTTGAATATATATATGAGAAAAGTTTCTAAAAGGTGGAAAATATGTTTTTACTTGGAAATTGAGTAATCAAGATGTTTGTATTTGTCAGAAAGCCTGCGGAATTAATCTTAAGGATCTATGTGAAAACTCCTGGTTGCTGAAGCTCCACACCTGCCCTGGTGAAAGTTTGGTATAAATGCCTGACCTCCTCGGAGTCTCCGCATTGAGCCAAGCAGAGTCTCTCATTATCTCTCAGGGAAAGTGTCAAATTGAGTTTCTGCAGGCTGCAACATCCAGATAAAATTGTTAGGTGGCTTTAACTTTCTTGTGCAGATTAGAGGAAGGAAATTCTGCTCACAGAGGCTTCCATATTGGCTGGGAGTCTGCAGCAGCTGAGGTGGAGAAGGACTGGCTCTTCAGATAAGATTACACGGCTTTTTCACCCACGTGCCTCTCTATTAACTTGCTCCCTGCTTAACTCGTTGAAGGAATATGGAAATATTGCATTAAACAAGAATGAGGTTGGGACGCCTGGGTGGCTCAGTTGGTTAAGCGACTGCCTTCGGTTCAGGTCATGTTCCTGGAGTCCCGGGATCGAGTCCCGGGATCGAGTCCCGCATCGGGCTCCCTGCTCGGCAGGGGGTCTGCTTCTCCCTCTGACCCTCCCCCCTCTCATGCTCTCTCTATCTCATTCTCTCTCTCAAATAAATAAATAAAATCTTTAAAAAAAGAATGAGGTCTTCAGTAACTTCTCTCATATTGCCTACCTTTGACATCCTGAATCTAAGGGTCTTGGGTTTAACCTTGAGTTAATGCTCCTAAAATATCCAGCTTCGGAACTGCCCAGGGTCAGCTGAGGCCTTCATTGAGACTTACCCTAAGACCTAGCTCAGCCTCTCCCTCTGTTCAATCCTGCTTCCTTTGTTTCTCTTCCATCGATGCTGATCCCAAGAACATTCCCTAATAAAAAAGCTTCGCCAAAATAATGGTATAAATGAAGGATGTGCAAGGTATTGGATTCAGGAAACAAGAGAACCATCATAAAGGAAGAGCAAAGGGAATCTCTAGGAGGATGGTAAAGGGAGATCTCATGGGGACAGCTATTGACGAAAAGAATGCAACCAGTCCAGACAGAAGAAGCTCTGAAACCTATAGAAGATACTTCAAGATGAAATTCAAGGAATAACTAATATAGTCAGCCATCTTGAGAGATTTGGACAAATGGTAGAGTTTGGAGTTGAATTAATGATAAGTTATTTAAAAGCTTAAAATGAGAAATGAGGCAAAGAATTCTAGGGAAAACAAAACTGCACAGGGAAGGAAGTCGTAGGTTGCCATGTGGCTCAGTTGTGAACAGGGTTTAAAAAGTTATGAAATTCTAAACTTTGGGTATTATTCTAACCACAATTATAACTATATTGAAGGGAGAGTGGGAAGCTTATGTGCTCAGGGGGAAGCAAAAGAGGAAACATAAATCTTCATTTTCCTCCATAGGCACTCAATAGATAACTCCTAACACTGAAAAATCAGATGTTGTCATTGGAAAGTCGAGATAAATATTAAGAGAAACTGGCAAAAGAGATGAAAGTGATTTCCATTTGAGGAACAGACTGCTCTATTTTGCAATTTTGAATTTTTTTCACTATTTAAACTATACAAACGTATATCTTTGATAAGAATAAAAAAGTAGGGGCCCCTGGGTGGCTCAGTTGGTTGAGCATCTGCTTGGGCTTGGGTCATGATCTCAGAGGTCCTGGGATCAGCCCGCGTCAGGATCCCTGCTCAGCAGGGAGTCTGCTTCTCCTTCTCCCTCTTCCCCTGCTCATACTCTCTCTTTTGCTCACTTTCTCTCAAATAAATAAATGAAATCTTAAAAAAAAAAAAAAGTTGCAAAAATACAAATTGTACAGGGGTGCCTGGCTGGCTTAGTTGGTAGAGCATGTGACTCTTGATCTCAGGGTGGTGAGTTCAAGCCCCACGTTGAGCATGGAGCCTACTTAAGAAAAAAAAATACATATATATTACAAAAAACATTCTCTACCCAGATTCACCTATTGTTAAAATGTACCTTATTTACTCTCCTTTTCTCTCTCTCCCTCCGCGCACACACACACACACATATACATATATGCATATATACTTATGTATGAATGTGTCTATAGATTTAATTATATTTGTCTATATACATAATTATGTGTGTGTGTGTATTCCTTTTTCTGAGACTTTCAGGGGTAAATTATAAATATCATGGCCCTTCAACAGACACATGAAAAAATGCTCAACATCACTCAGCCTCAGGGAAATACAAATCAAAACCACAATGAGATACCACCTCATACTGGTCAGAATGGCTAAAATTAGCAAGTCAGGAAACAACAGATGTTGTCAAGGATGCGGAGAAAGGGGAACCCTCCTACACTGTTGGTGGGAATGCAAGCTGGTGCAGCCACTCTGGAAAACAGCATGGAGGTTCCTCAAAAAGTTGAAAATAGAGCTACCATATGATCCAGCAATTGCACTACTGGGTATTTACCCCAAAGATACAAAAGTAGGGATCCGAAGGGGTACGTGCACCCCAATGTTTATAGCAGCAATGTCCACAATAGCCAAACTGTGGAAAGAGCCAAGATGTCCATCGACAGAGGAATGGATAAAGAAGATGTGGTATATATATACAATGGAATATTATGCAGCCATCAAAAGGAATGAGATCTTGCCATTTGCAACGACGTGGATGGAACTAGAGGGTATTATGCTAAGCGAAGTAAGTCAATCAGAGAAAGACAGTTACCATATGATCTCACTGATATGTGGAATTTGAGAAACAAAACAGAGGATCATAGGGGAAGAGAGGAAAAAAATGAAACAAGACAAAACCAGAGAGGGAGACAAACCACAAGAGACTTTTAATCATAGGAAAGAAACTGAGGGTTGCTGGAGGGGAGGGGGGGTCAGGGAGAAGGGGTAACTGGGTGATGGACATTGGGGAGGACACATGATGTAATGAACACTGGGAATTATATAAGACTGATGAATCACTGACCTGTACCCCTGAAACAAAAATACATTATATGTTAATTGAATTTAAATTTTTTTTTTATTATTTTTTTTTTAAGATTTTATTTATTTATTTGAGAGAGAGAGAGAATGAGAGACAGAGAGCACGAGAGGGAAGAGGGCAGAGGGGGAAGCAGACCCCCCGCTGAGCAGGGAGTCCGATGCGGGACTCGATCCCAGGACTCCAGGATCATGACCTGAGCCGAAGGCAGTCGCTCAACCAACTGAGCCACCCAGGCGCCCTTGAATTTAAATTTAAAAAAAAAGAGTAAAAAAAAAAATCATGGCCCTTTAACACCTAAATACTTTAGTGTATATTTCCTAAAAAGAGGGATATTCTCTTACATAACAACAGTTCATAAATTTATAATACCTTATTATACTGTACATATTCTTTTTTTTTTTTTTTTACTTTTATTTATTTAAGTAATCTTTACACCCACCATGGGGCTCAAACTCACGATCCTGAGATCAAGAGTTGCACACTCTTCGACTGAGCCAGCCAGGCACCCCTACCATTCACATTCTAAATTTGTTATTTGACCTCATGATGTCCTTTAGAAGATTTTTTTCTTCCAGGGCAGGATCCAGTCTAGGGTCAGGTATTGCATTTAGTTGTCTTGTTTTTTTTTGATACCATCAACTATATTCCCTACCTTGTACCTTTTGTCCTTGGGACCCATTCATTCCATGACAAGCCTCTACCTCCCACTTCCCTTCACCCATTTTGCCCTTTCCCCAGCCCCCCTCCCCTCTGGCAACCCCTATTCTGTTCTCTGTATTTATGGACCTGTTTCTGCAGTTGTCATGTCTTTAATCTCTTTTAATTTGGAACATTTCCACAGACATCTTTTATGACATTACCATTCTTTTTAAAAAAAAATTTTTTTTTTTTTAAGATTTTATTTATTTGCGAGAGAGAGAATGAGAGACAGAGAGCATGAGAGGGAGGAGGGTCAGAGGGAGAAGCAGACTCTCTGCTGAGCAGGGAGCCTGATGTGGGACTCGATCCTGGGACTCCGGGATCATGACCTGAGCCGAAGGCAGTTGCTTAACCAACTGAGCCACCCAGGCGCCCCGACATTACCATTCTTAATATCTTCAACCACCCCTGATGTTTTATTCTGTTTTGTTTTTTAATCAACACAAGAAACAACAGATGTTGGCGAAGATGTGGAGAAAGGGAACCCTCTTTTTTTTTTTTTTAAGATTTTATTTATTTATTTGACAGAGACAGAGATAGCAAGTGCAGGAACATAAGCAGCGGGAGTGGGAGAGGGAGAAGCAGGCTTCCCGCCGAGCAGGGAGCCCGATGTGGGACTCGATCCCAGGACCCTGGGATCATGACCTGAGCCGAAGGCAGACGCGAAAGTGAACCCTCTTGCACTGTTGGTGGGAATGCAAATTAGTGTAGCCACTCTGGAAAACAGTATGGAGGTTCTTCCAAAAAATGTTTTGTTCTTTAAAGTAGTATGTTCTTTATTTTGTATTTGTCCAATGTTTCCTTTGTTTAAATTAAGGTTATGCATTCTTGGCTGGAATACTGTCTAGGTGATGTTTTGTCTCTTTCAGGGTATTATACCTGGAGGCACACATTATCTAGCTGTCCTTCACTGGATGTAATTTTGACTATCCAGTTGAGGAGCTATCTAATTTCTCCACTGCTGATTCTTCTTTCTCCTTTGCAATTAATAAACTATGTGGAGGACACAATTTAAAACCATGCAAATA